GAGGAGCCACCATCCTGACACTCGCACTCTGTCTGTATCAGTCAGCGAGTTTTGCATCTTCATTCTCATCTCTGCTAGGGCATGTATCTTCCTTCTACAGGGGCATTAGATGACAGGTCATCATACTCAGAACTACCAGGGCTACTAAAGATGCGAGCTCGTGCCTTGTCATACTCCTCCTTTCTCTCTTCAACACTTCTCATAGGACTTTGTTTTATCTCCATGTCATTACCTTCACTCAAATATCCCTTATTAGGCCTCGGCCTAATCACAATTTTAATATTTTCTGGTTTATCATTTTCTGATTGCTTTGCAGAGATTTCAGATAAACGGACAGCTGGGTATCTGCTTTCAGCTGTTTTTCTTACCAGAATTTTGTTACCGAGGCCGTCTAAGCCACTGTCCTGAACCATAGTTATCAGCCCATAATGTTGAGCAACACGATGTGCAGCAAGTCGAAGATAAGAAGTGGGAAAATGTTGGAACTCAAACTGCTGCTGATCATGACTTTGCAAAAACCTCTGGATATCAAGTTCCATCCGAAGAACTGATAAATGAAAAAAATAAATCAGAAATATAACTGAAACATAACTGGAAAAGCAGTACTAAAGACCATATCAATGAAGATAGTATTTGTGTCCGCAAATTGATTTCTGTAAAGTCAAATATAAAAAAAAAACACAATTGTCCCAGCATCAACAGCAAGTAACATAAATGAACCATCATGAACTTGTGTTGCTGACTATGGTTCACAGAGAAACTGTAGAGAAAAATATCTCAATGTCAGCTATACTTTCGTGTTGTCCAACATAATCACATTGAGCAACTATAGGCCAATAGGCCATATGTACAAACACATGCATATGCATGTACAACCATTACCACTCAGAAAATCATTCTTGAGCATATCCTTTTTTTTTAGATAAAAAGAATGTATATTGTGCAAATTGACACCAACAGGGTGTTGCCCCTGTACAAATTCTTGAGCATACCTTAGAAGTAAGAAAATAATTTAGACACCCTGAATAGAGCAAGGAAGGATCAAACCACTTCTGGAAAAGGATCCCTATATTAAACCAGAAAGCATTGATGCAATGGACTAGCAACAATGGCAACAATAGGTAGGCCACCATAGGGAATTTCCAAAAGCACTCTGCTCCCAAGAGATTAAAAAACTTTTTTCCAAACAACGCATTTGGCTGAGCTTAATTTTGGTCAAAGAAGCCTTATAAGCTCTCTACAAATTTAGAAAACTTGATGATTTATCTAACAATTAGAAAAGAACTTACGGGCTTGGTAACTTGCAAGCTCTGAAAGCTAGTAGGCAGTAGCTCTTAATTTAGAGAGCTCATAAGCACTCTAAAATAAGCTAGTGTTCACCCAATAAATTCCTAAATTCTCTCCATCTAAGATTTTCTGATAAGCTCATGATGCCAAAACAGTGCAACAACATTGTAGAATAATATCTTTACAATTTATCACGCCATTGAAGATATTGAAGATATAGTTAATAAGCTCCTGCATCATAAGCGAAGTCAATCACCCTATAACCTATTTGGCTCAAAATTTTGCAAGCCCAAATAGGCTAGTAGCTGCTAGATCCTATTTTAGAAAGCTTATAAACACTCTAAAATAAGCTAGGATTTACCAAAAATGTCTAAAATTCTCTCAATCTAATACTTCTTATAAGCCTGTGTTGCCAAAGCAGTTCAAAAACTTTTTAGAAAAATATTTATGCAATTTATCACAGCATTGAAGATGTAATTTATAAGTTCCTATAGTATAAGTCATGTCAATCTTCGTTTCCAAACAAAGTTATAAGTCATGTCAGACAATTGCTCCCTGCATCCACAGTACAAACTAAAGGAAAAAAATTGAGAATCCTACACTTTAGATATCTCTTCTCATGTTGTCTCCACTACTACTCTGAACTCTTTAGTTGTTAACAATCATGAGGCTTCACAACTGCACCTTTTACAATTGAATCCCACAACCACTAAACTACGTTTTGTACATGGGCGGTACCCCCTTGATACATTTGTGAATAATATTACTTCTCTTATATTTCAAAAAAACAATCACTAAATTTGGAGGCCTCAACTCCTCTAACCCTCTTTTGCAATACCCAAAAAAAGTTGGAATATTCTTAAATGAGCACCCTAGTAGGCAAACTATCATTCATTACAACAACTTGATTTATTAAACCAATAATTCCAATTATTCAATAGAGTATAAATGTCATTCACAGATTCTAGCACGATAGTCATCTCATCCATCCAAACGTCAAGCAAATCCAGACTGAAAAGTTTCCATTTCTTCACCTTATGCCTGGATAAATAAATTAATTTTAGAGGATCCAGCCAGATTAGTAATCCATAAGTACAATGTATAACCGAAATCTGAAAGAGAAAACAAAGACTAGATAACTTGGCTCCCTCTTCAATTTGACATGGCATAGACAATTTCCTTTTCTTTCCAGCATGATGTTAACCATTAAGTAGCTTAACACATCCAAGCAGGATGACCAAAAAAAATATAAATCAATATCAGATCTACAAGGCTATCGCCAGAAAATCTCAATGATGGAGTAATTTACACTAAAGCACCTAAATTAATTGATTGTTGAAATAATGTTGGAAGACACAATACAACATAAGTTAAACCTCCCTTTCTCATCATATTATAGTTGGGGATTTATGGTTCCATGCTATTTTTGTTTAAAGGTCAACCTCTCAATTCTAGTGAGGATTTGAGAACCTTATTGACACTTTGACTGATTTGTAAAGCTCTTGTACATTGGTGTTACCCCTTCAACGCCCTGTTTATAGAAGTTTTATCCTTTGTTCTCCTTCCCCAAAAAAAAATATCTCATCATAATACCCCACCAACAACAAACGTCAGTCCACTCGGGTTCTTTGTTTTACTGAATTCAGCTGAATTTTTTCCCCAAGGACCAAATCTGCATTAAATCTAACCTATGTATCTCCATTTTCTTATTATTAACAATGAAATTTCACTCATATCTTTCCCACCGACCTAACAAACTAAATTAACGAGAAAAGAACCCGATCTGACATAAAATAAATCTAATAAGAAACCGACCTCCTGAACAATGTTTCACCCAAAATTAGTCCCCGATTCAATCCAATAACCTAAAGGTCAATCCCCTAGCAAAATACAGACGCGAAATGAAACCAAAATTCCGAAATTAAAAACACATCCAGATCAAAAATCACACAGAAATAGGGTTTATGGTAATAGAATTGAAAGGCACAACAAAAGAAACAAAACGAGGAAGAAAAACTAACTGGTGAGACGATGACGAGGATTCTGAAGAGCCTCGACCAAGAAGCTATCCACCATTGACTCCTTCTCCTGCATAAGCGTGGCAGCTGTTGTCGTTGAGTCCATGGAGGTCTGTCTGTTTTCTATAAATTTCTATTCTCTTTCCGTCTCCCTCAGTTATCAAGGAACCTTCTCTTCTTCTTCTTGTTCTCTCTCTCTCTCTCTCAGAGATTGAAGAGAAAGAAAAATCAAGAAGAAGAGAATTGTGTTCCTCTGCGCATGAAACACAAGAGGAAAAAGAGAAAAACCCTTCGGAAAAGGTCTTCTCTCTCTCTCTCTCTCTCGCTCTCGCGCTCGCCAAAGTCGAGAGACGCAGAGGTAAAATGAAAGAAAGAATGAAATATCTTTTAGATTTTCTTCTTCTCTTTCTTTAAAAAAAAATTATTATTATTATTTATCGACTCCGAAAACAGAAAAAAGAAAAAAAAAAACAAAAGAATTGTGTGTGAAAGGACAAAAAGTCCACCGCCCCCTGTTATCTTCTTCCTTTTCTGGGTGGATTTGTTTTGTACGGTGCGATCCCTACGGTTATGTAACTGGGTTAGGTTCGCCTTTGACAATATACAAGTACCAAATTAGGAAAGTAACTCCACACTATAAAGGAAAATTTTGCTGGTCTTAACTACGATTGTTAATAATATAATTATAAACAGGAAACCAATCAATTGAATAATTATTAACACGTGACGTTTCTTCTTTAATTTATAATGAGTCGGTACTTTTTACTGATTTTATTAAATTTTAAAATCTAATTATTTTTTAAAATTTATATGCTATTTTTACTTTTTTATATTAAATTTATGTTAATTACTACATGTAGTATATAATATATTCAATTTATAAATCATATAATAATGTAATTCATAATATTTTATCTTATTTAGTTTTTTTTAACTATATATTTTATTGTTTCCTCCGCTAATTTTTGCAATTATCATATGAGGTAGTATATTGAATTAAGACTATATGTTATAAAATAACGAAAAAGTGATTGCTTAAATAAACAATTATAATTTAGTATGCAAGATATTTGTAATTGAGTTCTAAAAATATTTAGTTGATAAATAACTTACTTATTGATCTCCGACTTTTTTAATTACTATCACTATCAATGTTTTCGATATAACGTATCTATTCATTTATCTATTGATTCAAACTAAAAGTATATTTGAAATAGTAACTTCTAAATAAATAAATTTAATTTTTATTATTATTCATATCATAATATAATATAAAAATTTTAACATAACAAACATCAATAATATTACAGTATATTTATGATGTACTAAAAAAATGACAGTTTTAATTTTTATTTTTTAAAAAATTAAGCTCTATTTGGTATATAAAAATATTTTTATAATTTTTATTTTTTAAAGAATAATTAAATTAAAAAAAAAAAATTGAAAAAAAAAAGAAAACACAAATCCTTACTCCGACTACCGCGGACCATTTGCCCACCGTTAAAATAACTGAAAGTACCTGGCCTGGTCCATAGCTGATCCAGCCCAGACGGACTCAGACTTGGTCCGTAGCTTGGCCACGGTCCATATAACACGTTATTATTCTAGACGGAGTTTAAACCGCGAATCCGACAATAACGAGAACTAAGCCGACCGTCCACGTGGCAAACAGGAATATTTAAGTAGTGTACGGCACTCAAAACAAATAAAACGTAACGGGTACGAGACTGAAACAAAAAGGTCAAACACAATATTAATTAATAAATAAACAAATAAAATTATATTAGTAAAGAAGTTTCCGGAAAACCATTTTATCCACTTCCTATTTATTTCCCTCTCTCTCCAAGGCTGACGCATGCATTTCACGTGACTGATTTTTCTTTTCTTTTTTTTTTTTTAAACAAAAAAAAAAAATTGTTCTCCACAATTTAATAGTTAGTTCAATGCCTAATTGTGTAAAATATTTGTAAATTTAACATTTTTATTATTTTTTAATATTTATTTATTGCAAATTTTTGTTTTATTACAAATTAATTATGCATCATAATATTTTAATATATAAAATAATAATATTAATATATTTTTGTGTATAATTAACTTATTCATACATTTTAGAATTACAATTTAAATATAACTAAATTACAATATAATATTTGTATAAATAAATATTATGTTTCGCGTTATAATAATTAACTCTAGTAAATTGGTTAACATAATTAAAACAATTAGAACGTTATAAATGTAAATGTATAGTATAATTAGTGGAAATTATGAGTACTCAAATATAATAATAAAAAAATTGTGTGTATTAAATATGAGGATGGTGCTTGTCTGATAAGCTTAATAGAAAATTTGGTAGATCATCTGTCATTCAAACCGAGCTTTGGAGAGTCTTCGATGATCTTTAACTTATTTAAAATATTAGATTTCTTAGTAACATTTTAAAGATAAATAGTGTTTTGATGGTACAATTATTTACTATGAAATATTATGGTACTAATGCATATATCGTACTAATTCGTGCCATCAAATCATTGCTATTGCATGATTGATAAGTTCGGATCTAATATATATATTGCGAAGAGAATAAATATACAGCAAATATTGATTTATCTTTACCGGTTGACATCTATTATTATGTTTAAGTATTGAATGATCTCTAATAGTTATTAACTGACGATATCATTAGTGTCTCTTAACTCAGAATATGTATGACGATTTATTAATTTTTTTTTTGAATTTTAACTTTCTTTATGCTAAAAAATAAATATTTTATGCTAATTAAAAATTATATTTTCTAAAGATGCATTATATATATAAACATATATTTTATTATAGATATTGTTAGAAAATTCTGATCAAGGTATTAAAAATGTATATATTATAATTTAAATATTTTATACGATAAATATTTATTTTTTAGTTCGGAATAAATTTAAAATAAAATTATACAAATAGTTACATTGGGAAATATTGGATTAAATAAAAAATATGTTGTGTATTAAAGAGATTTTCAAGAAATCTGCAAAAAAATTCCATGAAGGAAACAAAAAAAATTAAAAACAAGAAGAAAAAGGAAAAGACATCCATCTAGGGGGAAGGCTTCGCACGCGCCACAAGGAAAATATGTGAACAGAATAACGTGTAAAACCCCGGGGTTCGTCTTCAACCTGCGTCAAGCTTTTTCCTCCCTTCTAACGGAAAATTTTGACGCTCTCCATCCCTCTGAACCTAAACCCTAACGATGGCGGAACAGCTCCTGACCGAGCAACCGCCGGCGCCTGACACAAACCATACTTTCTGCTCGGAATTCGATACCCTCCCGGTACCCCCGCTGGATCCCCTGTTTCTCCCCGGGTCGGATTATACGACAAACGATAACCTGAAGGCAGATCTAGGGTTCGGATTCGAAGAAGATGGAGATATCGAACTCACCTTTGACGATCTCGACGATCTGTATTTTCCATCGGAAACCGAACCTTTCATCATCCCTGTATCGGCTCAGGCCAAGTCCTCACAAGGCTGCTCCGGAAATTTCAATCCAGAATCCGGAGGCTTCGGAATATCCGGCGATCATAGTGTGGACGTCGTTGACAGTTATATGAATTGGTGGTCGCCGGAGTCTGTGAGTTGTGATCGGGGCTATCCGAAGGTGCAATCGTCGCAGGACTCAGGGGATGGTTGCCCTGAGGCTACGACGAGTATGAATTTTCCATCTCCGGCTTCATCCCACGGTTCCGGCGTCTCCGAAGCCGTGAATACGTCGTCCGCTGATTCACGCAATCCCGTTGTTGATGAGAAGATCAAAGTGAAGGAAATCGGTAAAAATTCAGTCACAAAAAGGAAAAAGGACAGTGAAGATGCGACTGGAGAATCCAGGACCAACAAGTTCCGTAGGTCGTTCGTACCGAGTGAAAATACCAATTCCGACGAGGTGAGTGTTACCACTAACGAGGAGGAGGAAAAAAGAAAGGCGAGATTGATGAGGAATCGCGAGAGCGCACAGTTGTCTAGGCAGAGGAAGAAACATTATGTAGAAGAGCTGGAGGACAAGGTAAGGACTATGCATTCTACCATTGCCGACTTGAATAGTAAGATATCATATTTCATGGCTGAGAACGCCACTTTGAGGCAGCAGTTGAGTGGTGGCGCTGGCATCTGTCCTCCTCCTCCTGGTATGTATTCACCAATGGCACCCATGCCGTATCCATGGATGCCCTGTCCACCGTATGTAGTTAAATCACAAGGATCTCAGGTGCCTTTGGTTCCAATTCCGAGGTTGAAACCTCAGCAACCCGTCTCGGCGTCTAAGCCCAAGAAGGGCGAGAGCAAGAAGGGCGTTTCTAGAACTAAGAAGGTTGCTAGTATTAGTTTTCTGGGTCTTTTATTTTTCATCGTGTTGTTTGGTGGATTAATTCCAGTTATCAACGTTAAGTACGGGGGAACGTATGACAATGTTGATATTGTGTCGGGTTATGTGAATGATCGGTTTTATGATCAGCATAGAGGACGAGTTTTAACGGTCAGTAGCCAGTCAAATGGGTCTGATAAAAATATTGGCATAGGATTCTCGAAAGTTAATTTTGATACAAGTAATAGAATACATTACAAAAGAGGCCATTCTGGAGGATCAAGCGATGGTGCTGACCCTGAAGATGGAAGATCAAGTAGCAAAGAAAATGTGCCTCTGGGCAACTCTAGTGAATCCCTTGTTGCTTCTCTGTATGTTCCAAGAAATGATAAGCTTGTGAAAATTGATGGAAACTTGATAATACATTCCGTTTTGGCCAGTGAGAAAGCTATGGCCTCCCGGAAGGATAACAGGGAGACTGGTTTGGCAATACCTACCGCGTTGGCTATCCCTGATGTCAGAAGGAGTGGGAGAATTCATTCCCACTTATACAGAAGTGCAAATGAGCGACAGAAGGCTCTGTCTTCTGGCTCTACTAATACTTTGAAGGATCATTTCAAATCTAGCGCAGCTGATGGTAAACTGCAGCAGTGGTTCCGTGAAGGTGTTGCAGGTAATTTTGGTGTTCTGATCTTAACACTTGGTCCATAAATTGATATTTGGTTCTTTTGAGTTAATTAATTCCTGTTACATGGTACTTTGTTTCTAATGTTATCCTTTAAGATTGTGCCTGACATCTTATAATGCCTAGATATTCCCCAAGGACGTCGTGTAAATTGGTAGTGTTCGTATTTGATGCCTCAATCTTTTCCTTTTTTCTTAAATCACTACAAAGATGGAACATATTGTTCCTCATAACTTACCATAATATATAGTGGTGTTTCTGGATATTTTCAAGTAGAAGTTCTTGATTGAGGTGATCTTAACTCAAAGATCATAGCTTAAATTGCTTTTCATTAGCTGGAATTCTAAATAGAGTTTGGTTTGCCAGTCCAAATGGCTGGAAAGTGAGAAAGTCTTTTGTTTGTAAGTTCGTGTTAGCTAAACCATTACTCCTGTTAATTCTCAAGATCATGTTTTTTATCTGGCTTACAAAATCTGAAATAAGCTTTTTCTTCTGTTGATTTCTTTTGCTTTTTTCATATGTTTGAATTATTGCTTGTCTTGCCTGAATAAAACATTTTTCATGTTAATTCTCAAGTCATATCTGTTATGGTGATGCAAAATCTGGAAGTAGTTTTTTCTTATTGTGGATTCCCTGTGCTTCTTTCACTTGCATGAATTACACCTCCTCCCCGCTCTCCCTCCCTCCCAACCAAAGAAAAAGAGAGAGAAAATAGTGTTAATTTTCAACTACAGATATTTCATCTTGACACGACATCTCGATTTAGCTTCCTCGTATGGTCTATTCAGGTTATTATTTCATCTGCGCGACTTTAGCTTGCAGTCCCAAGACCCTTTCACGCTTTAGCCTCTCAAGTATTTGAGTTCTCGCATGTGCACCGAAG